TGTTACACATTACATCCCGATTGGTATAATAAACGTTCGTAGAATCTCTACCAACTGTGAATCTTTCATCAATTATACCTTTACAAAATGACGCTTCTATATACAACCTGCATTATACATTCCTTTAATTAATGATGCGTCAACAATTATCTAACTAGTATAAAAACAATTAATAATTTATTTATTTATTATTGTAATAATTTATTTATATATTATTGTAATAATTTGTTTTATTATTGTAATAATAATAAATTGACAAAACTACCGAAGCAAAACACAATCTTACATGATCTTCATGTGGCTGTGATACAATAAGTGCATATTAATACGCGCTTTAGAAAAAACGCGTCTATTTTTTTTTTAAAATTGAAAAATGAATTCAAATGAAGATTATTCTGATAATGATTCATTAGATACTATAATCTCTGGTGATAATAACAATGATGATGGGAATGAATTGGAAGAAGTAAACAAAAAACTTTGTTTAAAGAATTATTTTATTAATTAATAATCACAAAATAATAATAATTTTTTTTTAAATAATAAATAGTGCAATTCATATAATAATTTTATGAGAAGTGATGACGAGAATGAATTGGAAAAAGTAAATTGAAAATTTTGTTTAATTATTTTATTAATTAATTATCACAAAACAATAATCATTTCTTTTAAAATAATACATAGTGCAATTCATATAATAATTCTATGGGAAGTGATGATGAGAATGAATTGGAAGAAGTGGTATATCAAAAAATTTGGTTTAAAATTATTTTATTAATTTACATTGTTAAATAATAAATGATTTTTTTTATAATAATATCTAGTACAATTCATATTATAATTTTACAAGAACTCTAAGTGTTGAAACTATTAAATTCTATTTAGAATTTCAAGAGTATCCTTGTTCATTGGAAAATGGATTTTCCAGTATTTACAATGTGTCTTGCTTTAATCCAGATGAAGCAAAAAAAAATTTTGGCATGAGAAACATACAATATTCAGTTGGTAACCCTGGTGGAATTTCGACTGTATTTTGTCCTTTTTTAGGTGTAAGATGCAAAGTTGAACAAAGAACATGTCAGGGTGTCAAAGTCTGTAAACTTGCTTCACCTGAAATAATTAATTATCAACATTCTAATGTTATCTTTGAAGATAGGATTTTTGAAAACATATTTCAAAATAATGAATTAACATCACAGGAAATTACTTTATGGTAAATAATTTAAATCAATTAGACATATATATTAATATTACATATATATTGACTGATCTTTTTTCTAGTCAATATGTTGCTGCATTCATAAATTTGTTTTTCATGGTGATAATAATGAAGAAATTCAGTGTGATGGTAAACCTACATTAAAATATTATTTCCAAATGGTATTTAATTATTCTATCTTTAACTCTTTTTTATGTAATTTATAAATCAACTGTATAATTAATAATTGAAAACAATATCTGATACTGTTCAATAGGTAGATGGAATTACTATAAAAAAGTATTTTATTGGATGTCAAAAATGGAAAAGAAATGAAGTTCATAGATACATTCCTATCTCAGATTCACGTATAGATATAAATTATCTTTATCAATTATTTGAAAATTTTTCTTTTTGTTCTTTAGATGAATATAATCAGGTAAAATTTTGATATTTATTTTACAAAAATACTATCAAATAAATTAATTTTATTTTTTCTTTATTTAGAACCCTACAATAAACACAATTTCTGTAGGAAATCGTAGTTCAATTTTCATTTATCTAGCAATAGATCATCATGTGGTAAGTATTTGACAACTTAGATTCATATATAAAATCACATGTATACAATTTTTTTTTAAGAAAAAAAAAGCTAATTAAATTTATAAAATCTCACTTAGGATATCCACATACATCAAATAATATAGCCTTTGATGCCCCAATAATCAGAAAGACCTGCAAAGTCAAATTTATTCATATAGAGCCTTTGGATCTAAAAAAATGTCCTATTATTGTTATTATATCCAAAGGGGTGCATGAGCATCCACCACCTCCTCCAATTAAAACACCAACTAACATTGTGGCTCAGTTGCAACAAATTTTGAATGGTGATGACGTTTTGGATTTAACTGCTAGAATACTTTTAACATGTTTGTATCAAATTTTTCAATAATTACTTTTCATTTATAATTAAAGATCACAGACTCATTATTAAATACTTTAGGTTCAGTTGTAAGAGCATATCCTAACAATGTGAATCTTAACGATATTCATCCTTCCTTAAATAATTCATCAAAATTAAATTACTATATTTGTAAACAAAAACGAGCTCAATATCCTTATGGATCTGACCTATTTCTTTAAGACTAAAACTCCAAAGAGCCAACTCACAAGCCAAAAGTATTTTAAAATATATTAGCTATATTTTTTTTTGGTGTACAAGCTAAGCTGGCTTGTGGAGTTTTAATTAAAATTTGATAAGAAGCTAATTATTATTTTTTTTTTAGGAGTTTTGCATGAATATTTATGACAAAAAAATACCAATGAACAAGATCCATACATTAGAAATATTTGTTAAGATTACAAGAATCTGATATAGTATTTTTATTGTGTAATTTTGCTTAATTAATATTAGTATAAGGCATGTATGGTATGGTAAACTTTTCATATTAATATTATCTTTGTTCAATACTCTACTTAATATGCTTATATATAATTGGTATGGTATGGTAAAGAATGTGTAACATTGTATGATTACATCATACCATACCATACAATACGATCTGCAAGAGTTACACCATACTGAATCTCTCCCTACCGTTTTCTTTTCTTAAAAAAAAAATGACTAGAACAGAAAAACAAAAAGGAAGAAGAAAACAACAGCAACGAGAAAAAGAGATTTCTGGGTAAGTGTTTATCAAAAGAATGGTGGTTATCACCACTCATTGTCACTCTAGTTAATAATCCTTTTAAAATCTTTTTTTTTTAATATTAACTAGATCGAAGAGTAAGAACAAAAAGCTTGATTTACAAAACCAGTAGGTTTATTATAAAACTAATGTTCTGAATTTTTTGATGACTAAATTAACTTAGATTTGTTTTATTAGAGAAAATATCCCAACAACTTCATCACTAACATCAACTTCTACTGAAATTCCGCTTTTCTTTTCAATGGTAAGTATAGTTATATCTAAGACCTCCTAACATATTATTAGTTTATATTTTAATAACAATGATTTTTGTTATAAAGAATGATCCATTAGACAACTTATTATATCCAATATATTCTGAAGCTACAAACAAGTAAATAGAATTTCAATGTAAAAGAAATTATTTGAATAAATTTATTTAATATATATATTATCTACCTTATTATATAGTGACCTAATAAAAATGGGAGTGATTGATCTAGATTTATCAACATATCATGAATCAAAATTTGATTCATTTTTAAATAAATATCAGCATGATATTGATGTTCTTATTTCTACAGATGAAATTGATAGCAGAATCTTGGAAAGAATCAGCACTATTTCCAAATTAAAGTCATTTAATGAAAGTGAAAAGATACTAAAACAATTAGGGTTTTTATTCATGAATATCATGAATATCATTAAGGAGATTACACACTATTAAAACAGCAAAAAATCCCTTAAAAACATGAGTTGATCACTTGATTTTAATAGTGTGTGATCCCCTTATGATATTCATGAATACAAACCCTAAAAACAATTTTATGCAGTTGATAATATCTTTGGCAAAAACCTAGTAGATTCTACATTATTGGCATTAAGAGCATTTTGTGAAAAGTTGTAAGTTTATTTATTATTTTCATGAATTGTTATTTTATATTGGTAGAATATATATTTCCTTTATTTCCTTTTTATAACTATTTGGATTGAAAACCCTTATTATTATGACATTATGCAACTATGGATTTGATTTAATTATTTTAATTTACTTTTTCTAGATTGAGAAAATTTAATGCAATTCCAAATTTTTTTAAAACTGACATAAGTGAAGGACATTTAAATCAACAATTATATTTCAAATTAATGAATGACTTGTTTTATGATTATGAAATTTATGCTGTTAGTTGTCAAAGGTATCTTGCTATTGCAAAATTTTATTCTATATTTGTAATTTATTAATACAAAATTTTATTTATTTAGTGAGCTAAGAGCCAACAAAAAACGAAAAAATGATTTTAAGCCTTTAAATTCTGAAGTCTTAAAAGCATTAAGACTAGACATAAAAATAAACTAGATATTGAAATTTTAATTGTAGAACAAGCATAATTGATGATATAACTAAGAATTCTAGTGATAAATTTAAATCTTGTGTTGAAATGCATGACATGTTATATTTAATTGAAAACTCTCTTCCAAAACATAATAAGCACAGAATTAAGGACATAATGGTGTATTCCTTGATAGTTTCAAGTAAGTGTTAAATTTAAAAACTATAATTAATTTAGTATGAATTTACTATGAATTTCATCTTATTTATTATAATTGCTTTTTTTTAAAATATAAAATGAAGTAAACATATATGTATTATTTCTTATCAAGCTATATTACAAAATATATGGTGCAGATCATCTATAATCATTAATTGCTTATAGTAACAATTAGTCAACTTCAAAATACTAAAACAAAAAAAAATTATATCATTTTAAAAAATTTAACCCATAAGTTTTATTGTTCATGACTCAAGCTTCAAAACATATTGGCTGGTTTTTCCTAAACTGAAAATTGGCCGAGTCTTAGCATTTTGAAAATTCCAAATTTTGTTATACATTTAAGAAATTGAGACTAAGTAAATTTTGTGAAACAAATTTTTTTCATTGAATATTTTCTACAACATACATTTGATTTATTTGACTTATTTATTTCCTTTTTTTATTAATAAATAAAAGTTCTTTACAACAAAAAAGTTTAATGAACATATCATCAAATTTATTCAATGTATCTTTATATGTATCATTCCATATGCAAAATAAATCAACCCGATTATAATTTGCTAATTTTAATTCATCCCTCAAATATTTTATGGATGTGTCTTTAGCTATATAACTGTTTTCTATTGTAAAAATTTCATAACCACTCATATTTCCACCAACATCAGTTTTGTTACCTCTAGCATTCTTTGTCTTTGTAAGCTTATTCATAAACTTCACAGCATGAGAGAAATGCTCCCCACTGTAGAAAAATGCAAACAAGTTAAATCCATCATGATAACTAATAGATATACAAACAAATAACCTCACCTTACAATCATACAACAGGGTTGGTAAATGTGCGGTCCATTGATGATCTATTGATGGTCCATTGGGTCCATTAATGTAACACTTTAACCATATTTAGTATTTTATTAATGGCAATGGACCAGTCCAAAATCCATCTGTTCTCAATAGACCAGTCAATTTGCCAACCCTGTCATACAATACTTCCTTAAAATATTTATTAATGGCACTATATGGTTATCATGTAAGTCACCTTCCGAGTTATTTTTTTTTATAAGGTTCATTTAAATACTCCCCACTATTAAAAAAAAAATAATTTTAATATATATGTATATATATACACATGGTGCTCATGTACTTACTAATGAATCATTACTGATTGAATATAATTGATCACGTTATTTTCATCAGTTGACCTTGTTGGCCAAATTTCATTCACAAATTGAAAATAATGACACCTTGCCCAATTTGATAATTCACACCATGTATTAAATTTTTTCTACAATTGAAAAATAATAATAAATAAATATTAAAAAATTAATTTGCTAGATAACAAGCTCAATAGTTACCCCCTCCAATTTTTTAATAATATACTTCAAAAAAAAATTTTTTTTAGTATTGCGGTGATAATCACTGGTGTGATGAAATAGCAATCCCCAAATTTTTTTATCTTTAAATACGCATTGAATAAAGCAAAAATAAGAGTTAAAAAATATTAAGCCCTCTCTCTTTTAAAAACTTTGTCCCTCATAAAGCCCCAGAACGTCTATGATCTTACAAATAATTAAGCCGCCTCTCTTTCCCGATGTCTTTCTTTTTAATGCTAATACAGCTGCCACAGTTCTTTCATGATTTTAATAAGCAAAGAACTAATAAATATTTCTTCACAACTTTAATCCCATCAATGTCTCCAAATGCTCTATATACAAAACGCCAGACATGTACCAGATACCACAACTCCAGATGATTTTGTTTTAAACTACATGTTTCGTATTCACGTATTCTATAAAATAGTACTTTCATTAAATCCAAAAGGCAGCACCTACAGGGTATACACTGCGTCTAATCTAGAGGTTGGCACCGCGCAAAAATTCTTTAACCGGTTAATTAACCGTTAAAATTAAGAGTTAACCGGTTAACCGATTAATTTTAGAAACGGTTAACCGGTTAACTTTATTAACTGATTAACCGGTTAATTTAGTCACGTGGAATTTTTTAACTGGTAAATTCAATCGTTCATTACTTACAAAGTAATCACACATCTGTTGAATTTTATTATTAC